CACACACACACACACACACACACAAACATATAAAGTAAAACAAAACAAATGGCTATCTTCCCTGACTTCATTTATTTTTATATTTAAAACATTCATATTAAACATTCCTCTGGAAATTCAAAAGTTAATTACAGAAGTTTACATTCTTACCACATTGGTTTTCATCTGAATTATCTGGGCAGTCTGGTATTCCATCACAAAATAATTCTTTTCTGATGCAGTTTTCATCATCAGCACAAACACCATCTGAAGGCAAACATTTACCTAACATATGTTTCAAAAAGAATGCATGGTTAATTTTTCTATTCCAGAATAGAATACCACCCATAGAAGATAATCAAGAAGCTATCCAATCTTACAACCAAAAGACATATTTTCAGAAATAGTCAATTCAAGGGATTTCTTAAAATGTAACAAAAATAATTCCATAGTTCATTTGTCTAAGAAATTTCTGTTTCACATTGACATGTACTGTACTATAGATGTGAATATGCAATGAAGATTAATGTAGTATAAAGTAAGACATCTACTCATTTGAAATAAAACTTTTGAAGTGGCTTTAGATTGGATTCACTTTCTGTTATTATCTAGCTTATGACAATAAAAATTGGCTTGCTTTCTAGTGGCTTTTTACTAAGATTTTTGTATTGAAGATGAATTATAAATGCACTCAGTGTACTGACACAAGAATAATAATGTTAAATAATAGTTAAGGTATTGCTATGATCACAATAAATGTTTAGAATTTTAGAAATAGATAAAATAGCTGAGCTTTCCTTAACGGGCTGTTTTCTCATTATTCTGGAAACTTAATTCTATTAAGTTAAGCAAGAAAGTTCAGCCTTGATTATTTCTAATGGCAAAATTATCAAATTCCAGAACAATTTTTTGCTGATGTCAACAACAGTTATTTCTTTATTTTATTTTATTTATTTCTTATTTGTTCTTCTGAAAATTAAACAACAATGCCATCTACTGGAGAAGGAAATGAATCCATTGGAAATGTTTTCTTTGGTCACTGATTTTGTTTCCAAATTACAGTGATACACATACACAAAGACACATACACACAGAGAAACCACAACACACACACAAACACACACAGGGAGGGAAGGAGGGAGGGAGACAGGGAGGGAGACAGGGAGGGAGAGGAAGAGAGAGAGAGAGAGTCATTCAACAAACTCATGTTGAAATGTAAATTTAAAAATGAGGCTTATTTATCTAAATATTTACCAATTGTTATATGTTCCAATTACTAAAATAGATGGAAATCAATTCACTATTACAGAAAAAGAGTAATGTTCTTGAATCCAGTATTTGAATATTATATAAAATAATTAAAATAAATTGTTTGTGATTACACACGGAAATAGATATATTCTAGAAGAAACTCAGATTATTTTTGTTATAAAAATAGAAGAATATTAGTATACTTTAAAAATAATTAACTATGAATCTTTGAGTTTGAAAATTAAATAAAATACAATTTGTTTACCCAGAATTTTTAATGCGTTTTTTTATCATGTCACAATCCATATCCATATAAGCAGAACTTGCATTTATTGTGCTTAACTCTGAAAAGTGAACGTTTCAATTACAAAACTAAAATGAATATGAAAATTGTTTCACAAAGCAATTTTATTTTAAAAAGTTGGGGGATTCCATATACCTTATCTAAGTTTTTGTGTACTTAATAAAATCTGTATTTACTAACCGGTTGTTGTTGAAATAGTTGTATGAGTTACTCCCAATCCTGGATAGTGAATCAAACCACAAAACAAAAAGTTAATTTTTTAAAAGCTGTTTTTATTAATTAATAAAATGAAAAGTTTTCCTGTGCAGTGATACATTCTATATTTACTAACCAGAAGTTGTTGAAGCACTGCTTGTACCAAATATTTCCAAACCTGAAAAATAAATAAACAAAAAATAAAGGAAAAAAAGGATAATTTTCTCAAAGGGTTTTCATTAATTATTAATAAAACAATAATATGCATTTTGTTTTGACTAACCAGATGTTGTCAAAGGACTGCTTGTAGTAGATATTCCCAAATCTGCAAAATGAACCAAACAGACTTTAAAAAAAAACCCATAAAAATTCTTCTTTATGTTTCCAAATTAATTTGTATTAATTATTGTCACATTACACAATAATTCAAAAAGTGAATGAATTTTCTCATTTATTATGGAAATAAATCTTGTTCTTATTAACTAGGTGTTATTAAGGCTTGCTTTAGTAACAGAAATATTCCAAATTTAGTGAAAGAGAAAGTAAAGCAAATGACCAGCCTCCCCCTGCACAATTATTTCTAAATAAAATGTTCCAATTTGTTCCAAGTTCAATATAAAAATGTTTTGTGGCTTGGTATTGAGAAGTAATTGTAATTTTGTCCAGTTTCCTGACTTTCTATTCCTTAAATAGATTATATGTTATTATATCTTCATATTGTTAAATTCCTAACCTACAGTTGAATCATACACAGCACTGATTAGAGTTAAGTTGATAAAAGAAACGGAAATGTTTATTTATCAACTAAAAAAATATCAGCCATGTGAGATAAACTGTTAAGAGTTTATCTTAAATTGATATATAGGAACCAAAGACAAGTAAGTAGGAAATTTATGCCAAGTGATGGATTTTTTCCCAAGAACTTTCAGTTTGGAGTTCAAATTTTGAATGTAAAGCATGCTACTTTAAATATTTCTACACAATGTAATTTATAAAATAGATTTTTTGAAAGTGCATGTATTATAGCAATTACAAAATAAGGAAGAATATTTGTAGCTCAGAGTTGAAATGAGGAGTCCTTGATACTTTCTGAGCTTGCTTGTTTTCTTGCAGATATTTCATTACCCAAACATAGGTAACATCACTGATGACAAAATAGAGAATTTTTTTTATATGTACATTATGCACTAAATAAATTACCTCAGTATTACCAGGTTCATTGCTGAAAGCAGAACAGCAGATCTTGAATCTCAAATAACATTTGGATCAAAATTTTAAGGCTTAGCGCTAGTTTTAAAATATGAAAAAATACTTTGTAAACCCCCTTAAAGCCATTTTATTGAATATGAAGTCTCTCCCCCCCAACCCCAGATTCACATAGTTATGTAGTCATGTGAGACCATATTATTAATATTTCATTCTTGCTGGAAAAAATATTTCACCTCCTAGCCAATCGTGAGTTTTGAAACTTGGCATAATTTTAATTTTTTTACTCCATTTGCTTTTTGGTGTTATTTTGGTAACATTTGCATGTATGTGTATGTGCTCATGTATATACATGAAGTTGTATGCATATGGTGATCATAAATATTTTAGAATGGTTAAATCTGAAAATAATAGAAAGTGTTGTTCATTTGAACATAAATACAGTGGTGAAGATGCCAGTATCAAAGCAAAAATCATCAGAAAATAACCAATTAAACACTTTCCTGTATTTTAAAAAATTGGGGATTACCTGTTATTTCTATGCTGTTCACATCAATGTTAAAAGTCTGTAAGAGTTCAGTTTTATTCTCTTTGATGCCATAGACCAACGCAGTCTTTATCTTTACTTCAGACACCCACCGTACAAAGAAAAGTTTGAAGACTACAATTACACTACCATTTCTGGTTAGAGGTAAACAACAACAAAAATTAGAATACAAACATAAATTAGTTTGTATTGAACAACAGATGAATAACCAGAATCTTGGCACTAAACTAGCATGATTTTTAATGGCTTGAATTTTCCTCCTTTTTTATAACATCATACACACCTAACTGTATAACACTGAAATTGTTTGTAACGAATGTGGATATTTAAAGTTAAAAAGGGGAAAAAAACAATGGGGGGGAGTATTTTTTATGTGGAATCTTAAAATATTCTTTGTTTAAAATATGCTTGCTTTCCACCCATTTTGATTAACTTGGAGAGACAGTTTGTATATAGGGCCCTTCCAATGGCGAAGCCATGTTTTAATACTGTTCTAGAAATAAGGCAAAACAGTGTTAGTAGTCCTCGCCTCCAGTGGTAGCGTATTCCCCATGCATGGGGTCACAGCCGAAAAGGCTTTTCTCCTAGAACCTGCCTGCTGGAATTCCTCAGCAGATGGCACCCATAGCAAGCCTCTTCAGTTAGAATGAGTGGGGTGAGCTATTCTCAATTGGGAGATCATAGGGAGATAAATAGGACAATGGTTCATATCAGTAGCTTCTTATTTTTTTAAACATATGAATTAAAAAAAGACATGGAATCAAACATTTGTCTTATATATGTACCAAATCATGTTTGCAATCAATAAATGAACTGAAAATATTGTAAGTTTAATGATCTGCTTAACCAATCTAAGATCAATGAGGAAATTATGATTATAAGTAAAAACATAAATTTAGAATTTAGATACACATAAATCCAAAGAATTCAGAATGATGATCAGTTATTACTGTTTTCTGGGTATATTCATATAGATACTCAGTAAGGAATAAAGGACTACAAATTACAAATAATTGTAGTGCAGTGGTTGAAAGTAATTAACATGATATACTTTTTAAATTCAACTTTAAAATAATTTAAAACACTTTACAATTTAAACATGAACATTAATTTTTTAAAAAAATTAAATGTAAGTACATTAATAAATTGACATTAGCAAAATCATTTTTTCTAAAGACATGTGGGATTTTAATGTAAGAGTAATTAACTGCTCAATACCTCACCTTTATTTTTATTGGAAATACATTTTCTGAAGGGCTTATACCATAGAACTATAAAATAACTCTTTTTAATCATGCTGCCATGCCAAGAAATTCATGAGAGCACCAGGTAAATTATATATTATATTTTTGAAGACTGTTACGTTAACATGCTATTTTTACCCAACATGGTTGGGCTCACCTGGCTTATAGCTTTATCTTGACTATGTGGCATCGTTTAAGTGAAATAAATTGTTTTGCACTTCATTTCATCGTATCTTATTAATCTTTAAAAATATTGTCCAATCCAGGCAAGAAATAAGAAGGTCAAAAGATGCTATTTAAAACATGATTTATCTATGTTGCCAAAAGAGTTAATTACCCTGAGATAAATCCACTTAGTCTCTGAGAATCCAAAAAATATAGTAAATTTTACCTTAGTTTCTCTCCATATATATTGTTATTGATATGACATTTTTTTCTTTCTAATATCCTTTAATTGGAACATTGGCATTTTCCACAAATGAGGACTCCTTGGTACCCTCTGAGCTTGGGTTTTTTTTCTCACAGACTATTCAAATTATCTAGCATTTTGCAGATTTTCTAAACTAGCTAACATCATCTCTGGACCTGCACCCTTTTCAACCTTGAGCTACATTCTCCTTTAGTAATTTTCCACAGTGATTTTTGTTTTTACTCAATGGGAAATTTTGTTTGATTTTCTTATTGTAAGTTTCTCTCTGTATCAATTTCTCTAGCAAGATTAGGACTGAGGATAGTGGTGACTATATAACCTTTTCTGTTGATGTAAAGAAACATTAGTTTTAGTTACAGAGCAAGTGACCTTTAGTCTTTTTAAAGACCTATATCAGCATTTTGTCACTGAAGCAGCAATGACTAAGAGATGATTAATTCTTTTAAGGTCAAAGAGAAGGCTAGAGTATATTCAAAGACTTTTCCTTTAATTTCTTAAATTATTCATGTACTGTAATGCTTTAGGCAATTATTTCTATGCTATCTTTCTGACTTATCAAAATTTCAAATGTGAAATCAGATTGCAACAAAGAACATTGTAATACAATGCATGTCTTTTATAGAAAAATTGTAAGGAAAGGTTCTTTGAATTAAAATGATACATGTTGTTCACAGAAAAAAGCAACGAAATCAAAGTTTTACAAGTTGGGTAGGTTTGTTTTGCAATTAATCCAACAAGAACTGCTTAAGTATAAATATTGGAAAGACATTCTATGGCTGTGATGAACTTATAGCATGTGTGCCCGAAGAGACCTTGTTGTCTGGCACATGTGGCATTGCCCGTTCCTCTTCAGGGTTTCTGGTGCACATGCTTTTTTACTTATAGTAGTAGCCTAAGTACTAATTATCATGGCAACTGAGTGTAATTTTCTGTATTAAAATTAACTTGATTTTAGTACTTTGCTCTGTATCATACATAATAAAGCTAAAATTGAAACATGAACTAATGAACTAAACCACACAGAATTATATGTTGTGTATGTGGATACACACACACACACAATGTTTAACTACTATGTATGAAGAAAGATTTCATGAACATCATAACTTGAGAAGTGAAAGATAAAACCTCTACACAGTATATGCATTATTTAAAATCATGTTTTTGTTCTATGATAAATTACATGGATTTAGAGCATTATGGCAATAATCCATCTGTTAATTAAAATAAGGAATATAAAACCAGGCTGAGATTGTCTAACCTTAAAAGCTAAACATACTTGATAGTGGTTATGATTTGGACAAGATTCCATTAGAAATGCCAGAATTCTGGACTAGACTATGAATGAGTTTTGGAATATTAAAATGGATATTGCTGTGAAGATGTTTGTCTGAATGCAGTATATCTTCATTCTTATTCAAGTAAAAGTTTCCCCCTCTTATTTAAATTTTTAGTAATATAATGTGATAGTTAATGCTGTGGAATTTGAGAATGATCTTGATTCATTATCAAGTATGTAGCAAATACTGGTACATAGTTTCATTTTTATTAAAGCCAAACATTTTCCCTCTTATTTTACTTATAGTATATGTGCTATAACTTGATAGTTAAAACTACTGAACTTGAGAATTGTGATTCTATATTTTAATAATATTAGCAAAGGTATTTAACAATTGTTAAAATTAATGATGAGGAAATGCATCTTATTTCTTAACAGATCTAATTAGGATATGGAGTAAAGAAAATGATTCCTGGAGAAATTTCTCTTCCGTAGTTTTGTGATAAGTAAAAGTAGTGGTTATGAACTGGGATAACCAGTTCTCTGTTGTGGAGGGTGAAGCTGGTTTGGGATCACTCACTATTTCTTTTGCCTCCTGAGTGGAAAGTAATAAAATATCTTTTTACCAAATTGTACCAGACCAGTATGGTTCTATGGGTAGTTCTCAACTTACGATCATTCATTTCATGACTGTTTAAAGTTACACCACTGCTGAACATTGACTTATGAGCAGTCCTCCCATTTTTGATCATTGAACAAAATTCATATGATCAAAATTTGGGTGCTTACAATTGGCATGTATTTATGATAGTTGCAGAGCCCCACAGTTTCATGATCACTATTTATGACCTTTCCAGGGGCGTCTGATAAACAAATTCAAAGGCAGAAACTGCATTCATTTAATGATGGCATTAAATGCCATCAACAACCATGGCAATAAACATCATAAAATCAAATGCGTCTTAATGACCGCATCACTTAGTGATGGAAGTTCCAGTCTCAATTGTAGGTTGAGGATCACTTGTATTATAGCCCATAATTTATAAGTATGTTTCATGCAGGAGTGGATTACTTTGGGCTGATAAAAGGAACTTTCTTCACACTTTTTATTTATTTCCTTCATTTTCATTTAATTTTACTACTACTTTTTCATTAAGACCTTAAATAAGGAAATGTACTCCAATTTTCCTAATGAGCATAGAACAGGATTTATACTGAGCATATGATAACTATGTAGGAGTTTTAAAACTGTAGCTTTAGAAGCGGATGAAGAGGAATAAACATGTTATAATTCTAGTGTGAGAGATCCTATGATTTCAATAATATTTCAAGCCTGTGTACATAATGTCCATCCTAATATTAATTTTGATTAAAAATTAACTTACCTAAATTGCATAACTTTACTTTCCTTATATTCATTTTGAAGTTCACTTGCATGTAACATATCATCTACCTAGATATACAAAGATAAACAATATAAAACATATGTAGAATATATTTTCTAATATAGAAAATATAAAAAGTGATATATCAGAAAAAAACTGAAAACTCTCTTCCTATAAAGGCAAGAAATATTCAGTTTTTCTTACAAATTAATATTTTTAAATAATATTATGGCTTTTTTAATATAGATATATAGAGATAGAAAAGAAAGCTGCTTGACAGACAGACAGACAAAGTTTGGTTAATGCAGCAGTGACATCTTTCTGCTCAAAAATAATGACCATGAAGGAAAAGGATATATACATATGCATACAAATTGATTAAATCAATTGACTGTCAGGGTCAAAGAATCAGAACCATTTTAAGGTTTTTACATAGAAGGCTTATTCAAGACTGTGTACAAGAATCTAGTAAATGATCAGCACTAAACTGGCAGTAGATAAGCATCAACAGAATTCAATGGGACTGGATTTGGATCTCTTGTGGCAATGCAAAGGACTCTAAGCTTATGACATGTTTAACTTGGACAAGTGCTCATGTTCTGAGTTCCACAACCAATGCCATCTAATGGGCCTTAGGAAGTGGGTCTTACATCCCCCATCATGACTGTGTTTAAAATATGTTTGAAAACCTGGCTTTCCCTTCAGACTTGAATTAGGGTGGGTGGAAAATCTCTTATAGGGATGTGCTTTGGTTAGCTCTAGCTGTCTAGATAGACATGGCTCTTTTCTATGTTTTATTTGTTCTTAGCATTATAATATTGTATACTATATAGTATTTTTGAATTTGCTTTCTTTCTAAACTTTTCTGTCTGCTGTTCTATGTAACTATTTGACATGAAGTATTGCCATTTTCTTGTAGAGAGACTTAGAACAGCCAAAAGGGTTTAAAAATCAAAACATAAAAGGAATAATATAAAAATAAAATTCATACCTTGTCAGCAACATTATATATTTACATTTAAAGAACATGCCATCTCTTATGGGCATACTTATGCATACACATATATAACCACTATGTGGTGACCCAGTGGCTAGAATACAACATTACAGGCTAATTCTGCTGACTGACAATTGTCATCGGCTAAAAGTTGACTCATCCTTCCATCCTTCCAAGGTCAGTAAAATATTGTTAGGGGCAATATGCCGACTCTGTAAATCTCTTAGAGAGGGCTGTAAAGCACTGTGAAGCAGTATATAAGTCTAAGTTATATTGCTTTTATATTCTTCTCTCTTGCACATTCATTCACATATATTGATAGGCATTGACTTATTTAAACAAAAAAGGGAATGTGTAAATACAGAAATAATCCAGTAAAAATCAGTTTATTTTTACCATTTGCTGAACATCAAAGGCAAGAACTTTGAAGTTTACCGATGATTTATTTTGCAAATCAGGGGTGAACAATGCTCCTGATTTTATTGTAAATATTCCCTTTGCTTCGTGGCATTTTGCTCCTGATTAAAAAAGCATAGAAGTTAGAAAACAAATTGTTTCTCTCATTCTGTTGGTTTAGAATTTTTGCATTTTTTAAATCTATGAATATGGATTCATGCAAGTAGAGATAGAATAAATATTCAACTGTATATATTTTCATTATAAACAGTTTTCATTCTATTTCTAGCACTGAAGTAATGCAAGTGTACTTTTCCAAACTTGGATAGAAACTAAAGGGATAAGGGAGCTTTGGCAAATGCTGTAGTCAAACAGATAGATTCTTGCTAGATTAGAAACCCTATATTTAAAAGGCTTAAGACAACTTAGAACACAAAACAATTCAAAACATGGGAACAGATAGAGAATGACATCATACTTTTCTGTACTCAGGAAACAATGGACGGTCTATTCTGACAACAGGGCAAGCAGAAACTCCAGGACTATCCTTAGTTGAGATAGAACATAAATAACAACTGAACTATTTTGTATTAATGATGCTACAGTTGAAGAACAGGATGTAATTGTGGGAGAGTATGTAGTTTTTGACAAGCCAAGAATGATGTTTGGAAGTTCACTTGGGTTTGATACAAATTGGGAAAGCTTAGATCCATGTTTCTAGAAAATAGTGTTATGTTATCTTTTACAGATCTAAAGCTATGGTCATCCAACCCTATTCACATACCTAACCTTACATTAGTGCTTTATTGTAAGATAAAAGGCTTTCTTTATATTAGACTCCTTTATAATGCAGTGCTGATGCTTATATGATATGTGTTATAACAAGTTATTAATTTAGATTTCATCAATCTTGTTGTATTGTTTTATTTTCTTTAATGAATTACGTAGACCATCTTGGACCTAAGAAAAGGCTTAGAGTTATTTTTAATTCAGACTAATAAAAACATAGAAAACTGATGTAATACATATAAAACAGATGGCTTTAGTCATAGAAATTAATAGTTTCAATTTGGATTAAAATTGCTGATACACTAGTGAAAGAGCAATAATAGGCAGAAAATTTTATTTAGTATGAGGTATGATGTCAGGAAGCGAATACTTTCAGAGTATTTTAAGAATCATTCTCTTGGGCACAAAACAGTTTTCTTATAAATAGATTTGGAAAAAGACACTTGCAATTGTTTACCATTGACTGGTATACACAGGGACAATATTGCAAAAACTAATAATTAGAACATAGATTTAAAGTTTGTTTAAAATAAATTACATAAATGTAGCATTCATTTCTCAGGTATATATTTAATAAATATCTCATGTTAGAAATATATCATGAACAGTTTGATAACTTTTGGAATTCTATAATTGTGACAGTTGTGAAAATCAGGAATAATACTTTTGTTCTAAATTTAATCTACATTCTCTCACTCTCATAGAACACTTTTATAGATCAATGAGTTATTAGCAGAAATACAGAAATATACAATTGAATAACAGCCAAGCAAAGATTATGCATAAAGGACTATACTCATAATAAATGATCAATAAAGGTAAAGCCAGTGTATTTATGCTCAATTTATTATTTTTCCCTAACTAAATTCTAATCAGCCATATTTCTTAATCAGGCTATATCTTTATAGATCTATAGTATAGATCTAGTATAGATCTATATCTATTTCTATTTCTATTTATCTATTTATCTATTTATCAGCACAAATACTACACAAATGTAACAAAGGCAACAGTAAAAATATTGGGTTTCTGTCATTATGGTCTCTTGTGACGAGCCGATAGACAGATAATGGAAGCAGTTAGCTTCCTCCCATAATTGGGGCATACCAGGGGTTGTGACACTACATACATACATACATACACACACACACACACACACACACACACATAATGTGTGTGTGTGTGTGTGTGTGTGTGTGTGTATTTGTGCTGATAAATAAATAAAGGGAGACTAGTATAGATCTATTTCAAGCTATTTAGCTCTCATCAGCTAGCCATACCCTTACTGGGATTCGAACCTGGGCTGTATTACATATTAGGCAGATGTGTTAACCATTAAGCCACAGGCTCTCCTCCGTTATCAGCTGAGCCAGGGAGAAAGGTATATATTTAAAGTCACAACCCCTGGTGTGCCCAAATATGGGAGGAAGTTCACACTTCCATTCTCTGTCCATCGGCTCATCATAAGAGACCATCCAGACAGAAACCCAATATTACGTTTCTGTCATATATACGTTTCTGTCATATGTAGTTTTCATATGTAGTTTTCCAAATATAAATAACCTTGACAAATTTTTTTCAATAATATAACATTTATTTTATCCATTTATTCATTTATGTACACATTTTTCCAAAATGTACGACTGATTTCATTTTTCTGCTCCAGAAACTGCATCAGAAAATTTGAAAATGTTTGAGTTACAAGAAATTAATGCACTTGTGGGAAATAAATAAAATTATTTATTTTTATAGTCTTTACCAATTCCATCTCAGTAAGAAATTTTGGAAAAGGTATAATGCAATAACATAGAGATCTTATAAATCTCATAACCATTGTAGATTGTATCCATTCTATCATCTATTGTCTGGACTTTTGAGTTAAGATTTGATTTGTACTTTATTGTTAAAGTACAAAGAAAACCAAAGAAGAATACTTAATAGTTCCTTGTGTTTTTTTGTAATACATTTTTAATTCATAGAACCATTATGACAAGAAGAAAACAAATTGTTTGGGTATATTTTAAAATAATGTAACCATGGGAAATTTTGTATAACCTTGCCTAACTTTAAACAAAAATATACTTTTGACAAGAAATAAAACAAAAGTAAAGTGACCAAGAGCACAACATTGGGAAATAATCACAAAATATCTAAAGTGAAAGAACCTATGCAAATTTAACATTAAAATAAATAATGTGCTACAATTCAATTCTGGTAAAAATTGTGTTACTTTCTTAAGAATTTTAACATCCATTAGACCACCAATTCTCACAACAGTGAGAATATATCACAGCAATACTAATGGTGGGAACAGTGCGTTCTTTTTATTTCCATTTGTCATTTCATTCTATGTAACAATAACCTTTGATTATATGATTTGGTTATAATAATTTCTCAAACATTTAAATGAAAGGAATTTTAACAAAGATACAAAAGTACAAAATCGTTTTCACATAAACTTTAAATTTAGTCAGTTCTTTGCTGCCTTTATTTCATAGAACATATAGTTTAGAGTCTAAAGAATGCTTCCAGGGTAGAATGCTTTTAATATGTATTTTTCCCCAAAGAAGCAGTAGTCATTACAATGCCAAACAAAACGAGCAATTAAATACTGTATATATACTGTATATATCAACAGCAATTTAAGACTATTCAGTTTTAATGTAGAACAAATTGCAAAGTTTGTAGTTTCTTACCTTGTTCAGTGGTCTGGTTGATCAGCCATAGAAATGTTAATAAAACAGTACAAATACATAGAGAGATTATAAATAGAACAGTGAGCCAAAGTTCATAGCTGTTAAAAGAGATGTTTGTCTTCTTAAACCCTTTTTTGGGATTCATTTTGATCTGGGAACTGAAATTGCTGCCAGATCCCTGTAACTTTGAGAATAATAGTGATAATTTGAGCACAGGTATATTAAGATAATTCTAGTTAATTATTTATTTTTATATATTGCTAGGCTCAATGATTCCATAGATTTACATCACAAGACATAAACAATCAAAATGCTTTAATCATAATGCATTTAGTAATTTCATTTCTAGGTCCCATCATATAGTAGACTTTACACCGAAAGAAAAAGCATTAATGATAGGAATGTATAACTCCTGTTCAGAGGGTAATATTTTTTTCAAGATAACATGTACATATTCAACATCTAGGGCTGTAAATGTTAATCTTCAACTTTGCATTATTTTTTATATGAAATTGCAATGATATTGAATGTTGCTTCTTTCTGTTGCAATGCTTATAGTTACTTGCAAGTCCTGGAAATTATGGATCAATTTATCTTTGTATTTGGCAAGAGATAAATCAAAATATCAAGCTGTAATGGGGAATCTGCTGGACAAACACACCTAACATATTTTGGGAGCCTGTGAGATGCAAAGTGGTTAGAGGACCTTCACACACAAGGATAAGGAAATTTTAAGGAGAAGTTGAAATTATTTTTAGAAGTTTCATATTTTACTTTGTGTAATGCAGATGTGTTTCACAACACAGAATGGAAATAAAATAAGCTTTCAGTTTTTACAAATTATGATTGAAGTTCTAAGGTATGCAAAAGTAGAACTGAGGGACCACCTGTTTCCATGGAGTGAAAAGCTGCCCTTTTTATGTAGCTGGTTTCAGTTATAGCAGAAATGATATCTCAACAACAATATTAAAGACATATTTATATGTCACTTTCCACATGTAGCATAAGGAATTGATTCCACATTATTTTTCAATGCAATCAAAACATACTTGGGGAAGCATCTCATTTTATTCCATAAGTGTAAACAATAGTTTGCAACAGGGAGTCTTTTTACACTCCTATAATTCCAAATGTAGACTCTTCAGTTGACTGAAGAGATAAATACCTGCTTCATATTTTCCCCCGTACCTTTTAGGGACAATGGCAGATATGGTGACAGAGGTTAGAACTAACACGCCATTCCAAGCCAAGGTGGCGCAGTGGTTAAATGCAGCACTGCAGGCTACTGCTAGATCAGCAGGTCAGCGGTTCAAATCTCACCG